ATGCTGTGTTTTTGGGAAATTGTAGTCGCTGAGTTTACTATTTTATACTACTTCTGTGATATTACTACTACTTCTACTTCCTGTTATCTTCTTCTTCATCGCTGGTTGGTTGGTTGTTGATCACGTGATTCCCGTGATGCGAAAAAACTGTTTCCATTGCAGTTTTGCGAAATACACCAATTTCAATACGGCTGAAAAACCACCTCATCCTAGTGCAAAACCATTTTGTTGAAAAACATAAGTTTTTTTTAAATTGACGTGTTTCCATTGAGCAAATTTATTTTCAAAATTCTAATTCGCACATTTTCATGGTGAATGGAAACACAGCTACTGATGCCGTACAAAATCTCGAAGAAGCACCATGGATTTCAATGGAGCTGTACTGGTTTAACTGTGTTTAAACTGAAATTTAGAAAAACAGCTTCCAACTCCACCTGCAGGACCACAAAACGTGCTGCGATTATTGTAACAGTGACTCAGGATACAGCAAACATCTCAACATGGAAGGAGCGTTTTTGTCACTTTCCAGGGACTAACAGCTGGATTCAAAGATGGGACCAGATGAATTCAAAAACAAAACAAACAAAAAAATAGACTTAATGTCTGTAAACAACTCTAAACATCTTATCTGAGGTAAAAGACCCCCACAGGACCACCTGGATCCTATCCCTGCACTTACTGTTGACAAACAGGTACAGTGAACCTTGTTGTTTTTACTTTAGCCTAGCGCTGCTGGCGTTACTCGTAGCATCTGTGGTCTCATTTCCAGAGATGTACTAGTTGGATGTGTTGAAATTTGAACGTCTTCTTCTGTTATGGTGTTAATCTCTGTCTGTATGATCCACTCACATCAGATCAGAGTGGTGGAAAATGTCTGCAAATGATTTGTGTGACGTCAGGAGTGAATGTCCCCATTCTGAATTAAACATGTAAGTGAAGTAATGACCACGATGTAAAGGTTTAAAACAAGTTGTGAATGTAATGAAATTTTGAACATGAGTGTTGTTTTAAAGGAATCCACTTTGTTTTTGCTCACATTATCTGTTTGTTTATCTACAACAGGTTATATGTTTTAAACTTTTCTGCAGAATTTCACCACAAAAGATTTGAAACATGCCCGTCTTAAAAAGGGACAAAACACTCGTGAACAGTTTAAAGCATGAACGTTGAGTCTTTATATTCATGAACGTCTGTTATTTTTGTCATTAATCTAATCACCAGACTAAAAGTGTTTTCATATTCAGCTCTTTGCTCTTCCTCTCCCTTTCCTCAAAATATTTAAAAACATTGTGTCTGAATTGTTGCCCCATATCTGTGAAAATAAAAAAAGAGAGAAACTGTGTTCAGATGTATGGGGTGCCAAACGTAAAATAAAATGTTAAAAAATGTCACTAGTATATTTCATAATTTAGCTCACTCAATGTAAAGTTTAAAAATTCCACTATTTTTTTGTTCAGTTCACTGTTCTTAAATTTGGCTAACTTTTACTAAATAATACGTCTAATTGTTATGCCTAAATGTTAAATTGTAAATCTAAATGCAAAAATTAAATCCTAAATGTCGCAGCTAAATGATAAAGACATTTAATGTTTTTGGAATGGAACACTGCCTTTGTGACATCATCATCCTGCGACAGAAGTGAACGCTGATGCTGCTGAAGATGGTATTTAAAATTTTAATTCAAAATATGTTCATTGAAACCAACATTGCTGGTTTGACGTGCAGCTCAGACACCAACTGTCTTGTAGGGAAGCGCTAGCAGCGTTACCAATGTTAGCATTTGCTATTGTCGACGGATGATGATGTCATAACAAAAGCTGCACTAATGGCAAAGGCTACATTCCATTCTGAAATATTTACTTTTTAACATTTAACTTTTACATTTAGATTTAGGATTTAACATTTAGACATAACATTTAATATTTAGTTTTAAAATTTAGTAAAAATTACCTAAGTGTTGTGGCTGCAACGATACAGAAAATTCACRGTTCGGTTCGATACTTTAGTCTCACGGTTGACTATTTTTTCCATAAAAGGAGAAATGTCCACGCCCCTTTTAACTTGTAATTTATTTAAATTAATTATGAACATTTGTTTAACCTCAAAAGTACAG